GCGGCGGCGGGCAGCCAGGTAAGAACTGTTTCTTTGCTAGTCTCTTGAACCTGTAAACACAAGCCTCTTGGCCACCAAAACCAGGCTGTAAATGGATGTCCTTTGGGCAGCAGTCACAAAAGTCAGGGCACTAGATATGTACACAAGCTGTACTCAGAGATACCCACCAGTTGGAGCAAGTGAAAGGTAGAGGGCACATGTGGCAACCACAGGTCTCCATCCCCAGAAAACACCGAAGTTGGCCCCAAGACATGTAACAAACCCAAGGCTGGTCCCTTAGGTTGAAGTTCCAAGACAAGCAAATATGCCTCTTGCACAGAAAGACTTGGCATGTGTTTCAGACTGCTGTCTCTGCACAGTGCCCGGGGCGGGTAAGTGTGATCCGTTCTGCCATTTGCTGTAGCCCTATGGGACCCAGGACTGCAAGCCCCTCTGGCCATCGGAGCCAGGCAATCAAGGGGCGTCCCTGGGTCACAGCCACACGAACCAGGGTACCAGACACACGTACAAGCTCCTCTAGGGGTGATACCAGTGGCCACGAGCATGGCTGTGGAAGAGCCTTAGGACAGCATTACCTCCACATCCCCCCCCCACCCTGTGCCAGGTCTCAGCCAAGGATTACATTTGGCCTCAAACATGTTTAATTAGAAGACTGCCCTCAGGCCACAGTTACAAAAGATAAGCTAATAGGCCACTTACACAGAAAGATGGGGTGCTATTGTCTCCTTGCTGTGCCCTGGGGGGGGGGGGTAGTTAAAAACCCTGTAACAACCCTGACGGTTCCCCAGTAAGCCCCACTGGCCACCAGAGCCAAGCATCAAAGAGGTGTCCTCTGAGCAGCAGTCACAGAGGTTGGGATGCCAGATGAGTGTACAAATTGCAGATACCAGTGAGCTGGGATGAGGCAGAGCTGGCCTCCATTGTTGGGGGTTATTTCAGTAGGCCCCTAGATGTGTTTTAAATTAGGCCAACACTTTAAGATAAACAAGCCTTTTTTGTGGAAAGTCTGGACCCTTTTCAGACAGCTGCCTCTGCAGTGGGCCCAGGGATGGGTGAATCCATCTGCACCCTTTGGGGGTCTCATGGATAAAACCCCATTGCCTTTCAAAGCTAGATGCTTTGTGGGCTTGTCTCTCAGGTGCAGGTCTTAAAAGTCAGATGCAAGATATGGAGTTCAAATTCTTCACTCCTTTGGGAGAGGCTCAGGGTTGGGTGTTCCTTCTCGATTGTGGGTCTCCGGGGCCACCTGAGTGGCTCGGTTGGTTGACCGATTGTGGGTCTCCATTCGGAGGATGGGATTTATCTCAGCCTCTCATACTTGCTTCAGTATGTTTTGTTGGTTGGTGTTGTCGTTGTTTTTTTTGCTCAATGTGTAGTTGTCCACTCAGCTAGCTTTTTGTTTTCAGAGAAAATTGCTTTGTACACAGCTGTAGATCTGTGGGAGGAGGTTGAATTTAGGGTCCACCTTGTATTACCATCTTCAACTAGAAACCACATACCCTTTAAAATAACCAGTTGAGGTTCAGATGCTGGCTCTTCTTTCTGAGACTTAAAAGCATCACTGACCATACAATCTTTACCCAACTGGATGGTAAGAAACAATGTGAGATATTCTGCCAATGGCAAAAAATGTCAAGTTAATAAAGAAAGGTCATAAAATCCTAATGTAGTTGTGGAGTAGGCAGGATAAGGAAGATAGCATGCAGTTACAGAACAAAGAGACATGACAAGTTAGATTTTGCAGCATATCAATGAACAAGGTGGGGATAGTTACAAAATGTTTATGGAACACAAAGTTATTTATTATCAGTCAGTACAATCCTCTAAGAAATGGTTAGGATAGCTGCCAAAAAACCCGAACTGACTCAGTAATAGGTGTTTACTCTCATTTATTTTGGATTGCACACGTTCTCTTGCCAATTTATTACCAGCAGCTGGAGTCCAGTTGTGGGGTTATGGCAAATGGACAAACTTGACCCATCACTTAGAAGGCAACACACGTTCAACTGTAGAAGCAAAGCAGTTCTAGCCGAGCAGCTGCTTTCAGGACGACTGCTTTCATTGAGACTTTAACTGGCATCCAAGAGCTTTTACGGAAAGCTCGGTAAAAAAGAACTCTAAGGGTGTATGCTTGGCACTATGTAGACTATTTGAATTAAAAAAATGGAGACTTAACAGTACATTCTCACTTAACAGCTCTGAATGCTGTGGCTAAGTGTGCAGAGGAAGAGCTCTAAAATTTTCTTTCATACCAAAAAGATGCTCAAATCCTAAAAGGCGACACACTGTATGGCAAATTTAAGTACAGTTTTCATTCTGTAAATAAATAACCTGTGGAACATTCCTAAAGAAAAACATTATTTTCTGTTATATTCCACATTTCTGGGAAACAGAAGTTCTAGGACTTGAACTGTTTGTGCTATAGCAAATAATATCTACTATAGTTAGGAAGTTGGTGTTTTAAAGGATATTTATTCTCCAGGGTCAGTAAGGAATTTCTTCTTTATTCAAAATATCTACCAATTAGAAAAGGAAACAGACACCAGGAAAATCTAGTGACACTCCCATCCTCCCCCCGCCCCCCTCCCCCTTGCCATTTTCTTATACATGCTTTCAAAGTCATTTGAAAATAATACCATTTCCTTTGCTGGGTATCTTAAGGGTACAATGAACATTTCTTGAAATGAGCAGGAATTTTACATCAGTAACACTGTTACCTTTAGAGGATACAAAACTACTGACACAGGTAACCGATTACAGTCTGAGCAAAAACCTGAGAGAGCCAATGAAAAAAATTATAATTTTGACTGGTTTCCTTTATTATTGTTGTCTGCCCACACGTTCTGCAGCTTGGAGTGCATTTCAAATCCTTCTAAGACTCCTCTTCATGAGTTACAGAAATATACACAGAATAAAACAGATGGTAATTTAAAAAAATTAAGTCATCTTACATATTACAGGCTAGACAGTTCAATGTAATCGAAGATGATAGTCCTGAAAAATTCGACGGTAGGATTTTAAAGTTCAGATGACATAGGTTTGTTCACTCTTGGTTTGTTTCAAGTATTACTGACCTGTATTTGAAGTCTCTCCTCAACTCCTACTGCATTATTTACTTGAGCAGTAAAATGTGAAATATGAAATATGCAATGTTGATGACAAATGTCTCAGAACATTGGGAATAAGATCAATGAAGAGCAAAGTAAATCTAGAACAAGGAAAGGTACATTTATTAAAAATAAAAACAGTAGACATTTTCTGATAACAAAACCATTTAGAATCCAAAGACATCCAATATACATTGTAACAACGCACATGTATTAAAAAAACAAACAGACCCATTAGTAAAATTTTTTTTTTCCGAACTTTAGAAAGGAAAAAAGTACTTTGGCTACCTCCTGCTGGAGGTCTGCCCCCAAACACAGCACGCAGGACCAGCATCCGCCTTCAAGAGCTCTGCACTGCAGTGTGCATTCCTTCTGTGAACACAATGTTTCTGAATAAAATCTATTTCTGTAGGGATGATCCAGAACATAAGTCAGTGGCTCCATTTCATAAAAAATATTCATAGGCTGCATGAGCAGTGGCAACCGTTTTTCCAAAATCTTCAGTTTTAACAAAAAGTACAGAATGAACTAAATCTAGATGTTTTCACATTATTTCACATGAATATCAAGTACTGTGTAAAAATCTATGTAAAACCTTAAGTTAGCCAAAACTATTGTCTTTAAACTTTAGATCAAAGTTGTTCTTCACCCTTTTACCATGGCTGACAAATCTTTTCTGCCTTTGTTATGAATAATGTTTGTCAAACCAAAGAACTCTGAAAAAGAATGTGTAATCTTGAAGGAAGAGAGTACCAAAAACGTCATTTAACTTCAGTCCTAAGACACACACAGTTCCTGCTGGACAGTGGACTGCGAGAGTTTATTATCTTCAGTCTTCTCGTGTCCTGGGGCATGACAAGCAGTCTTCTTCTTAAATAACCGAAGACTCAATCGCAGTAATTCATTGTCTACCACTGGAGCACTTGTGTAAGCCTGTTTCACGGTGCCCTATTTGAAGAAAACAAAAACAAATTTTAAAAGATGAGGGGCGCCTGGGTGGCTCAGTCGGTTAAGCGTCTGACTTCGGCTCAGGTCATGTTCTCACGGTCCGTGAGTTCGAGCCCCGCGTCAGGCTCTGTGCTGACAGCTCAGGGCCTGGAGCCTGCTTCAGATTCTGTGTCTCCCTCTCTCTGACCCTCCCCTGTTCATACTCTCTGTAGAACGTGGGCTCTAGGAGTGAACAAATTCTCTAGAAGACAGCTGATCACTGCAGTCCACTGAGAAAGTACTACTGCCCTTCTGTTAAAATGCTTATCTCTATTACTGTAATTTAAAGCTACATTAGCATTTTTGGAAGTTGTCATAAAATTTTGTTAAATGTTCTCCAAGTGTGTTCATAAATGAAAGAAGGTAAGATTTGACTATCTTGGGCATTCTGCCATTTCTCTTCTTTCTAGGATCCTTAAAAGAACAGTGTTCCTCGATTACATGTGTGTTGAAAAATATACATGTTGTGATACAGAAAACTGACTTTTTATGCATACCTCGTGTTTACACTTGGGTACTGATTCACATAACCATGACCACAATCAGAATAGAGAAGTTTCATCATTCAGAAAACTCCCTTTGTGTTCACACCCTCTCCCCAACTCTAACCCCTGGCAATCAGTGATAGGGTCTCTGTGATTGCTTTGCTGTTTCCAGAACATCAAATAAATGGAATCCTACACTATATGATCTTTAGAGACTTGTTTCTTTCAGTATCGTGTTTTTGAGATTAATCCATATTGTTGATAGTACTTACTGACAGTTTGGCTATTTTTTCTTATAAATTAGTAACCAGTTATACAGATGTGTCCTAGTTTATCAATTAGCTACGTAAAGAACACTGGGGTTGTTTCCAGTTTTTGGAGATTATGAATAGACCTGCTATAAGCTACTGTGGACAGGTTTTTATATGAATGTAAGTTTTCATTTTTCGAAGGTAAAAACCTGGCAATAGGGATTACTGGGTCATATAGTGAATATTCATTTCACCAACCAACCACACTGTGTTCCCACGTGGTGTACCATTTTGCATTCTCACCGGTAACACGTGGTAGTTCCAACTGCTCTACATCCTTGCTACGGGGTTTGTTGCTGTTGGTTTTTAGCTACTGTAACAGGTTCACAATGGTATCTCATTTAATTTTTAATCTGCATTTGTTAATGGCTCAAAATGTTAAACATCTTCTCATGGGCTTATTAACATATCCTCTTTGGTGAACTGTCCATTCAAGTGTTGCCCGTTTAAAAAAATTGGATTGCTTTTTTTTTTTTTTTTACTGTTAACTTTTCAGAGTCCTTTACACATTCTAGGTATAAGTCCTTTCCCCCAAAAGTGGTGTCCAGATATTTTCTCTCAGTATCCTTGTCTTTTCAGTCTTCATCTCTTTCACAGAAGTTGTCCATTTTGATGAAGAACAGGTATGTCAAAATAAAAAGTTCAATTAAAAAAACAACCCATTTTTAAACACCCCCCCCCCCCCCCCCCCCCCCCCCCCCCCCGCCGCCCCGGTAGATTAGTCCTACTTGTGTGGGTTTATGGGTTTATTTCTGGACTCTGTACCATTGGTTTGGGTGTGTGTCATCCCTGGTGCCAGGACCACATTATCCTGAGTACTGTGGCTTTACAGGCAGTCTTAAAACTGGGAACTTTGAGTCCTTCAACTGTATTCATCTTTTTAAACAACTATTCTGTGTATTCTAGTTGCTTTGACTTTCCATGTAAACTTGAGAATCTGTTATCTTAAAAAAAAAACACTGCTGCAGTTTTGCTGGATTGTGTTAAATCTGCAGATCCATTTGGGGAAAATTACAATCTTAACTATATTGAGTCTTCCAATCCATGAACAAGATGTACATCTCCATTATTCAGGTCATCTTTGATTTTTTATGTCAGGGTCTCATAATTCTCAGCACACAGACCCTGCACCATGTTCTGTTAGATTTGTATCTAAGTACTTTCTGCTGGGGAGCCACTAAAAAGTATTTCCTACCTTTCAGTTCCCAGGTGCTTCTATACACTGTTAGTATATGGAAATCCAATTGCTTTGCGCATGCTCTGTATCCTGTGGCCTTGTTACACTCTTAAGTTCTGAGAGTGTTTCTGATAAATTCCTTGAAAACTTTCACGTAGGCAATCATCTTGTCTGTAAATACAGTTTTACCTCTTCTTTTCTAATCTGTATGCCTTCTACTTCCTTTTCTTATTGAACTGGCTAGAACTCCCAGTAAAATGTGGAATAGGGGTAGTGAGAATGGACAGCCTTGCCTCGTTCTGACCTCTCCGGGAAATATTTCAAACTTTTACCCTTAAGTACGATGTTAGCTACAGGTTTTTGGAGATGCGAGTCAAGACTCTTATTCCAGCTTACTAAGAATTTTTATTGCATAGGAATGCTGATTTTTCTCAAATGTTTTTTTCTGCATCAATTGACAGGATTAGGTATTTTTTCTTCTTGGTCTGTCAATATGTGGATTACATTGAATAATTTTAGAATACTAAACTAGCATATTAAACCAGCCTTTCACTCTGAGGATAAATGGTATTTGGTCATGGTGCAGTACTCTTTTTATATATTGCTGGATTTGATTTACAAGTTTTGAGGATTTTTTATGTGTATGCTCATGAGTGATACAGATCGGTAGTTTTCTTGTGATGTCTTACTCTGGTTTTGATATCCGAGTAGTTGTTGTCCTCGTAAAATGAGTGGGGAAGGATTCCTGTCTCTTCAATTTTCTGGAAGAAATTATGTAGAATTGGTGTTATTTCTAACTTAAACATTTGGTAGATTTTGCCAGTGAAACCATATGAGAGTGGAGGCTTCTTTTCCAATAAAAACCAGACCAAAGCAAACCGACACAGACGATTCAAAGATGCTTGTGGATTTTAGAGCAATTGATCCATTTCTCCTAAACTGTCGAATTTATGTGCATAGAGCTGTTTACAGTATTATCCTTTTAATATCTATGAGACTTGGATTAGTTTTTTTCATCTCTTCAGAATTTTTCTATTAATTTCTTGTGGTATTCCTTCCTTCCTTCTGCTTGCTACCAGTTCTATACATTCTTTTAATACTACAATACTCAAATGAGACTTCAGCTCATTTAAAGCAGCTAAGTGTTCTCTTGGTATCCTTAAACTATCTTTTCTGATAGTATAATTTATATATTTTAAAAATCATTCTCTAAAGACCATGCCAAAATATGAGTTCACTGGCTTTCCACTTTTTTTCATCATCTGATAAGAAGTACCATTTTCCTTGATGAGTGGTCCTATTCTGTATTTTGCTTTTACAGTCCTATATATTTTAAAGAGGTTTCTTTTTTTCTTAACATCTTTCACGAGGCTCTCTTATATCTGAAATTAATTTTTCTTCAGTTGGGTCTCTTCAGGTTTTGTGTGAAAATTTTTAACGCTGAGCAATCAGAAAAGCTCACAATGCTTTCTTCAGGTGGATCATTTAAGACATTAATACTGTGCCACTATAACTTTTTATGTCACATGCTAGTTAATGGTCTGTGCCCTGTACTGAAGGATTACAAGGTTTTGACAATGGCTCTCAAGGAGAATTCTGCAAGGGCGTTTCTGGTTGTCACAATTTCTGAGAGGCACTATGGCATATTAGAGGAGGAACCGGGGAATGTTACAATATATTTTTTATGAAAAGGAGGCAGGATTCTGGTGAGACTGCAAAACATGCAGCCTTTTTCAACCCAAGTCCTCTCCTTGAGCAAACAGAAAAATTTTCAACTTCAACGCCTGAGGATGGAAGCAAGTCGTACCATTGTAGACACTTATAAGAGAAGCTGACCCATTACATACGTGCTTCAAGGCTAACTAGGACTCGATTCTCGTAGGGACATTTCCAGCTGAGAAAAGCTGCAAGGAGAAATGGGCACCTAGGCAACAGCATGAGGAGAAAACTAAGTAGTACATGAAGTACATGAAATGGGAGTGCAGAGAATGATTGTAGCAACTCTGTCAGGAGTGACTCTGAGCCAGGCCTTTAACTAGGGAAGACTTTAAAAGCTTCCTATTCCTTGTATCTGTTTCCATTTTAATCGCTGCAGTTGAGTTCATCCCTCTGTTTTTCATGAATTTAATTTCTTCTGCAAATGCGAATCTTTTTCTTTAGCAATGTTGTTTTAAGTGTCCCCAGGTAAAAAGCTAATGAAAGTTTCTCTAACCTTTTAAACCAACTCTCTTAGGCTTTTTAAAGTTTAGACATTTTCAATTTCTCATGATCAGATCTCTTCCAAATCTAATTTCTATTTTATGTTTTATTTTATTCTTCTTAAGTAAATGCTTACATACACTCACCTGTATTTATTTCCTTTCTTCTGGCTTGGTACATTCTCACAGACACTATTTCTTCCTAGAAATAGCCTCACCACTCTGTGTCTGGAAACTTTTTTTCTCTGATGTTCAGTTTAGATAATAGAACATACTAGAAATTTACTTAGAGAAACTTTTCACAAATGGAAACGTTTCACAGAAAGAGACTATTTAAAACTCTTTATGCATCAAATTTTGAATAACATTGCTATTCGACACAAACGTTCATCAATACTCTTGAAGTAAAATGAAAACCATTACAAAATAGAATTCTTCTTTCTCCGTGTGTAAAAGACTAGGAAACCAAACTCCTAAAAGCAGATAACGAGACCTTAATCTCACCTTAAAGCAATCAAATGAAAAATATACCATCCATACTTTCCAAGGAAACAGTACCTTCTCATTTTTAACAAGCTGCTTCCGGATTGCTGAATCCCGTCTGAAGCATAACGCTTTACAACAGGGCCCAAGATTACTAAGAAGACTTGCTCGCTCTTCTTTTCGTAGTAATGCAGCCATGTTGAGAGCCCCCAGTTCATGTTCAAAAAGACTGTCTGCATCTTTCAATAAAAACAAACAGGCATTAAGTTTTCCTAAAATAGGAAAGTGTTGCTGGCTGCTTACATATTCCATTAAGTTTATCATCATGCTGGTGAAAATTATTTTATATTAAAGGCATATATACCTTATTAGGTCACAAAACACGTCTCAATGCATTTAAGAGAACTGAAATCCTATCCTGCATCTTTTCAGAACATGAAAGTATAAAACTAGAAATTAATTACAAGAATAAAAAGCAAGAAAAAACCCACAAACACATAAAGGCTAAACATGCTACTAAAAACAACTAATGGGTTAACAAAGAAATGAAAGAGGAAAAAAAAAATACATGGAGACAAATGAAAATAAAAAACACAACAGTCCAGCATCTTGGGGACACAGCAAAAGCAGTTCTCAGAGGGAAACTTATAGCAACACAGGGCTATGTTAAGAAACAAAAATCTCAATCCAACCTTGCACCTAAAGGAATTAGAGAAAGAACGATGCCCAAGGTGAGTAGAAGTGAGAATCATAAATATCACGGCAATGACAGAGACTAAAAAAATCTATAGAAAAGATGAATGAAACCAAAGGCTGGTTCTCCGTAAGAGAGAAACAAAACTGAGAGTCATCAAGAAAAAAAATGACAAATAAATATAACAGAAATGAGAAGTAACAAGAAACATTACAGAAATACAAAGGATAACAGAGTACTATGAAAAATTATATGCCAACAATTTGGACAACCTAGAAGAAATAGGATTCTGAACAGACCAATTGCTAGTAACAAAACTGAAGTCATAATCAAAAACTCCCAACCAAAAGTCTAGAACCAGGTGAATTCTATCAAACGCTTGTTAATAAGTTAATACCATGTCACCTCAAACTATTCCCCCCAAAAAGGAAGGAAAGCTTCCCAATACACTCTATGAGGCTAGCATTACCCTGATATCAAAACCAGACAAAGACACCACAAAACAACAAAACCATAGGCTAATATTTCTGATGAACACAGATGTAAAAGTCCTCAACAAAATATTAGGAAACAACATTCAACAACACATTAAAAGGACCGTTCACCACAATTCAGGGGGATTAATTCCAGAGCTCCAAGATGGTTCAATATGCAAATCAATCAATAGGATATACCACATTAACCAAACAAAGGATAAAATCGTATTACCTCATGGGGGAGGAAAAAGCATTTGACAAAACTGAACAGCTGCTCACGATAAAAACTCAACAAAGTGGGTTTAGAGGGAACGTACCAGAACATTAAAAAGGCCATATAGGAGCAACCCACAGCTAACTTCATACTCGATGAAAAACTGAGAGCTTTCCCTCTAGGATCAGGAACAAGACAAGGATGCCCACTCTTGCCACTTTTATTCAGCACGGTACTGGAAGTTCTAGCCACAGACCGGAAAAAGAAATAAAAGGCATCCCAATTGGTAGAAAGTAGTAAAACTGTCACTGTTTGCAGATGGCATGATACAGTACACAGAAAACCCTAAAGACTCCACCAAAAAACTCCTAGAGGTAATAAACGAATTCTGTAAAGTTACAAGAAACAAAGTTAATTTCCAGAAATCGGTTGCATTTCTGTACTCTAACAGAGAAATTAAGAAAACAACGCTGCTTAAAATTGTACCCAAAATAATAAAATACCTAGGAATAAACTTAACCACAGAGGTGAAAGACCTTTACTCTGAAAACTATAAAACACTGATGAAAGAAACTGAAGATACAAACAAATGCAAACACACACCACGCTCATGGATTGGAAGAATATTGTTAAAATGTCCACACTACCGAAAGCACTCTACAGACACAATGCAACTGCTATCAAAATACCAATAATGTCCACAAAACTAGAATAAACAATCTTACTATTTGTATGAACCACACAAGACCCCAAATAGACAAAGCAATCTTGGCGGAAAAAGAACAGTGTTAGAGGGATCACCATCCCAGATATCAAGCTAGAATGTGCAATCTAAAAAAACAAAGCAGAAACTGACAAATGAATACAGAGAACAAACTGATGGTTTCCAGATGGGAGAAGGGTGGGGGATGAGCTAAAAGGTATGCCAGTAATGGAATAAATAAACCACAGGAATAAAAGGTACAACGCAGGGAATGCAGTGAATGGTATTGTAACAGTGCATGGTGACAGATGGCAGCTATACTTAGGGTGAGCAGAGCATAACCTCAGAGTTGGTGAATCACTGTGCTGTACAACTGACACCGATGGTAACACCGTGTGCCAACCATACTGCAATTAAAACATACAAGAGGCAACATATTTTCTGTGAAAGATCTTGAACATGTGGTTATGTTGCTAATCTCAAACAAAAATAAATATTCAGATAGCCACTTGAAGGTGTAAGACAAGTAGCCTCGGGGGAAAGGATTTAGACACTGATTACTGTCTATTACTGGGAAGAAAGGTTGGAAGTTAGAATTAGTGAAATCGAATTCAGTATATTGTTTACCATCAACTATCGCATAAAGTCCCGGAATAGATTTCAGGACTTTATTATAGCAGCATTCAACTGCAGTAATATGACTACCTTTTGTGATCTCTTAAAAAAAAAAATCAGGTAAGTGATGATTAGGTATTAAGACAACCAGCAAATTTTATCGTAGATTTGGTCACTGTGAAAACAATGTATAAATAAAAATCACTTAGTCTTAAGTTACAACATGCAAAGGCAGGGAGGAAACACTTAAATCTCTCCTTAATTCTTCCATTTTTATAAAGTTTGATGGAAAATAAAGAGGTTGGGTTAAATAAGAAGTCAAAATAACAGAACAGGGCCAGTCAGTAATCCAAAAATATAACACAGTAAAACTTCACAGCTAGCATTCTACAAGCTGGCCAGAAGTACCAACAGCTACCAGATACTGCTTCTATGACAACATAATCAAACAGGTTATTGTTAGAGTCCACAAAGGAAAATGGTAAATATCACCTAGTAAAAACACAACAGACACATCTGACTGTTTCACTTCCATTTCCTGAACTGCAAAGCACAGTGAGATTAGAGAATTAACAAGAAACTAGTCTCATGTAATATATCTAGTCAACAGGTCATATACCTGTCAAAAGGTACAGAATGTAAGACAAGTGTAAATAAAGAAAAAACTCAAAACCAGTTTGCAAACTTCAGTGTCTATTGGAATCATCTGAGGAGCTTTCTAAAATACAGTGCCAGGGTTCTACCACTGCATCTACAGAATCTCCACAGTTGGATCAGGATACCTAAATGGGAAAAAGGCAGTCCCTCAGGTGATTCAGATAGAACTATGCTTCAGGCAAGCAGTGACATAGACACACGTAGTATTAAAAAAACCTAAAACCCCCCAAAATATTAACTACCATTCCACTGTAGATACAAATACAGAAGAAATGTGCACTGAGCCCACCTTCTTCCTGGAACAATGGTCATGATGACAAATTTCTTTTTATTGGAATCCTTATCGTTCTCTTCTTTAACAAAAGAATACAAAACACACACTTGCGCACCTCCCTAGAAAGTATAACACGCCCAAACTTCCAGTCTCTTCGTGGTTTTGAAATGATTACCACAAAATTATTCAAGAGACTTTTTTTTTTTTTTTTAAGTAATTTCTGTGCCCAACACGGGGCTCGAACTCACCACCCTGACATCAAGAGTTGCAGTCTCTACCGACTGAGCCAGACAGGTCCCGCCTTACTTGTTTTTAATCTATCACACTCCACACAGAAAACTTAGGCAAAGGCAATTTAAGTTTCGGTTTACTTATAAAGTTTACAGTGTTTTTAAAATTACAAATGGGATAGGGATATACTTTCTTCAGTACTGGGACACTGAAATAGACTGAATAGGATAGAAAAAATCAGTACCAATTATTTTACAAATACTTCTTGAAACTGTGTGTCAGACACTGTTCTAGATAATAGCATAATCAGTAAGAACAGGTCATTATACAATGGATACAGCAGTATACAAAGTCCCATTCCTTAGGAAACGTATATTCAGCATCCTGAATCAGTTCTCTTGTTCTCTAATTAGGAGAGGTCTGATTGGTGAGCAACAATTAACCCCCCTTTACGATGTATGTCATCAGGTTATGGCCAAACTATATTTCCTAGGTAGCAAAGTCATAGGAGCAAACTGCTTTAGAGGTGGGTGAGACCTTAGGGCTTTCATTCCATTATTTAATACCCACAGGAGTTACCTGCTTAAGGTCAAAGAGCCAACCAAACAAGGTAGAAAGCGGGGGCAGGAACCTAGGAGTTCAGTCATTTGTCAAGTTAACACATATTCACAATCATAATAATTTATATGTTTCACGCATGTGTTTCATTCTATATTTATTGGGATGTGTTAAAATCAAGACTTTTGCTGCTTATGCTAACAGTTGAAAGAAAAAACATGAAAGTAATAAAACAATTTTTTTCAGGGAGCCTGGGTGGCTCAGTCAGTTAAAATGCCTGCCTCTTGATTTCAGCTCAGGTCATGATCTCACAGCTCCTGAGTTGGAGCCCCATGTTGGGCTCCGCTGTGACAGTGCAGAGCCTGCTTGGGAATCTCTCTCCCCCTGTCTCTGCCCCTCTCCCGCTTGCTCGCGTGCTCTCGCTCTCAAACATTAAAATTTTTTTTTCCATTTTTGTATTAGTAAAAATCTTAATTTTTAAACCTTTACTCTCACAAACATGATATAAAATTAAATGTCGTTGCTTTCACATTTTATCTCTTCCTTCTTTTTACCACCCAGTCATTCCCCTTCCGTTGTAATGAAAAGCTGTTGCAATAAGGTCTAAAATCAATATGAAACTATTTTCAAACTAAATAGTAGTAGTCACTATTTATTAAGTGTCACCACATGTCAGGAATCATTCTTAGTATTTTACTTAAACCTCATTTGCTGCTCCTAACAATCTTATGAAGTTGATGGGGTAACTATTCCCAGCTTACAAATGGTGACACTAACACACAGAGTAGCTGGTGTGTGTGTGCCTATTTAGGAATCCAGATTATCTGGCACAGACACCAAGTTTCTACCCCCTTTGTTAAAGGCTCAACCTAGGCATTTGCATATGGGTAGAACTCCCCATTTCCCAGGGGAAAGGGTTGCCTTGACACCCAATTTGTTTAGATACGAACGAAGCCCACTTTTCCAGGCTCTGCTCTGGTTAGTTCTGGGAACACGACTAAGAACTTTACTGTGCTATTTCTGCACCTTTTTTGCTTTAATTTGCAGAGTCAAAATTCCTTTTTAAATTTCTGAAAAAGATTTAATACTGAATATCAAGTGATTCCTCAAAAAAAAAAAAAAGTTCCTACACTTGGAGTGCTATGTGAAAACAAAGAACCCTTTTCAAAGGCATCTCAATTAAGTCGCAGCAGACATTACACAAAGTAGAATGGGATTACCTTTGGGTTTTTCTAAAAGTCTCTGACAAGTTTCTTTGACTTTGGTGAAGAGTTCAGCACCTGCCAACTTTTTAGAAATCCCCACTCTTAGCATAACAGCTCCAGGTGTGAATTTTAAGAGGGCAGCCCCAGGCTCTCGTGGTTCTTTTGGATGCTTTGGCATAAGACCAGACCAATCCACATCTATCACATCTAATGGATCTGTAAAAAGTTAAGAATGGGATTTTGTTTTTACATCAAGAAATAGCATTCTTGTTATCTTTTGATAAACAGAAACTGCAAAACATAGAAAGCATTAAGTAACAAGTGTTTTAAATGAAAAATAACAGTCTTAAAATGAGAGCTTTACTATAAAGACTAATATTTAGACTCTAAGGACCTTTCCAGTAAAAAAAAAAAAAAAACACAAACAAAAAACCTCACCAAAAGATAACAGGCAAGCAAACAAAACCCAAGCGTATTCCTCCAAATTTAATACTGCAAACAAAGAATCCATCTACTGACAAGGGACAATTGAAAAAATGAACAGTAATGTTCTATTTAATAACATATAATAAAAAAAGATATACGTACCTTCTACATTAGTAGAAAATTGTGAAATACAAAACAAATTAAGTCAAAATAAAATTTTAACGTTTTACATTCCCCAACAAAACAAAGACCCGCACTATGATAAAAAAAAAAAATTATAACGGGGCGCCTAGGTAGTACAGTTGGTTAAGCATCTGACTCTTGATTTCAGCTCAGGTCCTGATCCCACCATGGTGAGATCCAGCCCGCGCTGGGCTCTGGGCTTGGAGCCTACTGATTCTCTTTCCCCCCCCTCTGTCTGCCTCTTCCCCCACGCGTGTGGGCTCTCTCTCCCTCAAACAAATTACAACAAGCAGACAAACTGGGACGTTGCTTCAGGCTGTGGACACCAGAATAAGCTCTGGCGGAGTGTACGGTTCTATACTATACAAGGGAAGATAATTACTGAGTTGAGAAAATTGACAGAGGTATATAGATCTTGCATAAATGTAATTTCAACAATTATAAATTTTGAATGACCGTTTCAGCAGTTGGCTTGTGGCACCACAACCGTGAAGCTCCGTACCATACATCTACCATCCAGAACATTGCTGGGCAATCAGTATTCGGTTAGATTCCAAGTTATATAACATGAATTTCAACTTCTGGAACGGAAATCTTAGAATTTGACTATTTGAAAAGAGACCCTGTCCAATGCATAGGCAATGTCGACTTAAAAGTGTGCTGACATACAGACTGTGATTTTCATTGTATTGGCCTTTCAGTCTCAAATAAAACATAGAAAGAAAAATTCTGCCTTTCATTACTTAGCAATGCCTTAATACCAAAAATCAGGTCATTTTTACGTTCAACCACCTTTGTAAATGATTACCTGGCATCTTCTCCTCATCCTGTTGGTCTTCCCTCTTTTCAGCATCACCTGCTAGAATTTCATCTAGTTCATCATCACTGATTGGCTCATATCCTTCTCCAGCACCAGATCCTAATGAATGTGCATCATCTAACTTGGATTCGTCATCTCCTGTTTCGGAAAGATTTATCTCATGTCAAAGAGCACACGGGAGGGACATTTAAGTGAAACCAAAGGGGAAGAGGCTGTGCACACTAAAATATTTGAAGAGTGTTTTTTTCCTTAGAAAACTACATTTCTTAATATTCCAAAAGGAAAATGAAATTTTAAGCGCAAGAACACAGTAAAAACAGCAATACCGAAACAAGTTATAAGATTACAATTAAAATGTGACAAAAGGTACCGCTAACTTATTAATTTTGCTTCTGTATGTTAATGTTTTTATAATAAAACTTGAAGTAAATCCAGACAAATTTACTAACTTCAAAAGGATGTAGTAATTTCTTTACTTAAATAAACTCATTAATTTAAAAGACTTGTAAACTTATTAATAATTACATTTATGTGAAAAATTGCCGCTGATTCTCCCTCTACCTCCCAATTCATCTCCCTATCCCAACTCAATTTTAAAGAGAATGCTGTAAGAAATTTAAAAATATTTTGCTGGTACCACTAGCATATATTTATCTTACCAATCTTTCTCAATTACTTAGGTTAGGCTTTGTCACCCAGTGAGTTAGCTGTGAACTGAAAAGTACCCTGAAACTACAGAGTATGTTTAATATTTCTAATCAGTTATCCACACACTTTACTGAGTTTACAACACTAGGTTAGCAAAATGCAACAGTATGCTTTACAGGTATAAATTTGCAGCAAATAAAATATAATAAACTATGAGATGTTTCTGGTCATTCTATAATTTTCTATTATGTTCTAGAATAATCTCCCAACTCACTTCTAAGGTAATCAACTTTAATGACTTCATTTTACAAATATCCATCTAAGCATAAAAGCATATAACAGGATTTGTATTTTTTCAAGTTTATCCCACTCATTTTCCTACTTTAGGTGAATAAAATTTTTCATCTCACAGTAGGTAATTCACCTATAAATTTCGATGCTATGTTATGTGTGATCACAACCAGTGAATGCCGTATTTTAGGGATGAGGGGCACTGACTCCAATCACAAGAGAGTTATTATGATTTGTTCAATTATATTCAATTACACTCCAAGGTTATACCTCCATTAGTACTATGGCTCAGGATTTGAGGCTATTTATACTCAAAATTGAGATGAAAACATAATGTGAGGAAACACTGAGATAGAAATGTTTTTGTCAAGTAGAAAAAAATATAACAGATGCTGTATTGGAACATATCTGATCAGATAACCAAGAGATAGTAAAGATGTTTATAGTTTCAAAAGAATGTGCATTTACTCTAGGCCCAATGTTATAATACAACAAATAAAAAGAATAGTGAAATAACTGCTGCTTATATACAAGTATCCTAGAAGTTTCTTGAGGGCTTGATGTCAGAACAATGGTGTTAAGCACTGGTACCAGAACTGGACAATCCCAAGGAGGCAGAATTTCCAGGACAATTTTCAGGGAAGCCATTACTCTTGTTAAGCTAGCCTATATAATTCACCAAAGAATAAGACGTGGGTATATATATGCACAGGCAGAACATATTTTCATTCATCAACCATTTACTGCATCCTTGCTATAGTCCTGATGATAAAGAAATGAAAAGCTATGGTCCCTAACAAAGGAGTAGAGTATAGTGGGGACAAAACCAAGGAAAAATAATTGTAATACAGCGTGGGGATGCTATAAAAGATATATAGACAAGGTGCTATGGCAACCTGAATAAGTACCGTTAACAGAGAAGGCTTCACGGAGGAAATGATGCACAGACTGGGAAATGAAGTCTGAATAAGGGAAGATAAGAGGGCAAACATCTACCAAGCAAAGGGAAGAGGCAGCACAAAGAAGGCTGGAGGGCAGTGCACTGAGAGAATTCAGAGGCATGAGTGGTCTGTACTAGACTGGGGGTAAAGAAGAGAGTGGAGGCAGTGAACAATGATGTTCCCCACAGCTGAGGCTGGCTCTTAGTGGGCCAAAGGGGAAATGCATTTTCAGGGAGTGTTGACTGTTTCGTGTATTTGTTCTCAACTGCCCTGTAAAACAGAATCACTAAGAGTTATTTGAATCTGTCTCTGAACCAAGAAATAACTTCCATTTTTATGATTTTTTTTTAAATATCTAAGAAAAGAAGGTGATAACTATTTTTTACTGCATCTACCTTTTATTTCATTCAGGTGAATCTGAACCAAGTATACCATGATAGTACAAATCAGGGGACCACATTTTTGAAATATCACAGGGCTTTTCCTTATGCATATCAGAACACCTTCACAAGAAAATATTTTATTTCCTATGAAATCTGAAAAGGAATGGAGCAGATAACAGACAACAAGGCACTCACCTTCCACACTCTCAGTTCTCTCCGCTTTGTTTAGATCTTCAAATCCCTGCACAGATCCTAGATCTTTATCCATTTTTTCTTTATCCAAAGCAAGACAGTCTCGGGAAGTGCCTTCTAGGTCTCTTTCATGTTCACTCTCCAGTTTTGCTTCACTGCGTTTTACAGACTCTATTTGAGAAGAACTCTCAAAAGTTCTGTCTCTGTCTCTGTCCCTGTCCCTTTCCATAGAATCAGGAATTAGTCTCTCTCTTTCCCTGTCCAAATCTCTCCGTTTGTCTCGTTCTCTCTCTCGTTCCCGCAATCTATCTCGGTCCCTGTTCCGTGGCCAATCTTTATCAGCATCTCGGTCCCATTCTCTCTGTCTTGTGTCTCTCCTCTCTCTGTCCCGGTCTCTATCATGCTCATATCGATCACGTTCTTGAAGCCTATCTCTGCTATCAAACGACCCGGATCTTGAATGGACCTGTCGATCTGATTCAGGAGAACTTCTTCTTGAACTATGGCTCCTTGAATCCTGGCGATCTAAAATAAATATACAAAGAGTTTACACAAGGTAAGAAATAAAATGCTTCATTGCCGCCATACTTGTATCAAATCACTGTGTTATGCACCTGAAACTAACACTGTATGTCAACTCTACTTCAATTGAAGAAAAAGAGAAGCAAAGAAAAAGGGAGAGGAAGGAAGGAAGGAAGGAAGGAAGGAAGGAAGGAAGGAAGAAGGGAAAGAAAGAAAGAAAAAAAAATGCTTCATTTTAGGGTCCTTTAAAACTTACATTTGATGTTTCCATAGTCCCAATTATTCAAGAAACTCATTTTAAGGAAAAATTGTAAAGTGCTAATTAAAATATGTAAAAGGCAAGGGAACATGTAATTTTCCACTATAACCACAAAATATCTTCCAAGAAATACATACATAAAATGGGTAAGCATTAACGGAACTGATCACTTCATCATCTGACCTCTTCCTATCCCCTATCTTATTTTCTGTGGTCAAAAGAAAAAGCACTGGCTGCAGGAGGAAGAGCAGGAAGGTTAAAATTTCAAGCATCAGTAAGGAACTTGAATACTGAGCCCTCTGCCAAGATATACTACTAACATCCTGACATCAAACTGATGGACGTCACTCAATGTACCTCCATTATAATAATGTTAGTGTTAATGTCGTAACAGGTAACATTCTGGTGGCATGGTTAAGCTTTGAAGTTTCTTAAAATTTAAGGCAGTATATAATGTAACCAATGTCTCATTTACGTTAAAGTTACAATTTGTATAAAAGAGAAAAGTGTATAAAATACACTAAGACAGGAAGCACTGGCTAGATTAGAATTCAATTTTATTACCTGAAGAAGTACTTCGACTGGGCTCTCCACGCTTTAACTGATCAATCCTAGATTTCCTCTCTCCTGTGATCTCCAGACTTTTTGTTTTCTCTCTATCTCTCGAGCCACTATGCAGTACTCTCTTTCGACCACTTTGGTCATCCCCACTTCGATGGGCAGAATCATTGGACGGGGAGCGGAGACGCCCAGATGTATGGCTCCGATTGCTCCGATTGCTGCCGAGGCTGCTGCTCCTCTTTTGATCCAGCGGCTTGCGATGCGGCGCATCTTCTATAGTGACGTGCGGCGCCTCTACCTTCTCGGCGCGGGTTCTATGGCACTTCCTGTGCGAGTCTTCACCGGTGCTGTTGGTGGGAGCGGCAGACGAGGAAACGCTGGTGGCGGACGCGCTGAAGGCGGCGGAGGCAGAAGAGGAGAGAGTAGCAGAGGCGGCGGTAGAAGCGGCAGCCGCGGGAGGCGGAGGGGGAGGAAGAGAGGACGGAGAAGGAGTCCTTCCGGGAGTGGCAGCCGTGGCGGCGCGCTCCGGTTCCGCCACCTCCGCCCGGTCAGGCACGTCCTCGTCAGACCAGTCGCTGAACGCCGTATCTTCCTTTTTCTGAGAATCCTCCAGACTGCCATCCTTACCATTGGACATGTCAACCGATTCCTCTTTGGCTGTCAGAGGGGGAGTCCGCGGGCCTCTCTTCTTCTTACTCTGCAGGACGGCTTCTTCATCAGAAAGATCAGAATCGCCTTTGGATTTCTTACGTTTCTTCTCTATACTTTTCTTCTTCTGGCCTTTTTTTGGTGAAAATACTTGACCGTCTTCAGATGCTGTCTCTGTGTTACCCCTCTCTAACCCAACATCCTCCTCCTTCTTTTTCTTAACAGGTTTCTTCTGAATTTTGGCTTTTTTCTTGTTCTCATCATGAGCTCGATCAGATGCGTCTCGCTCGTCAGACGGGTGGTGTCCCATCATGTCTTGTGGGCGAGTTCTTGAGCTTTCCGGGATTTCTGTCTGTTCTCTCTGTTTATCTACAGAAGAAACTTTCTCTTTAAGCTCCTGCTCTTCATAGCGCCTTGAACTCTCTTTTCTTTCCAGCTTACGATCTTCCTCTTTCCATCTACCCTGCCTGTCTTCTGGAAGGTGTGATGGACTGAGAGAACGAGACTCTTGAGGTCGTACAACCTGGCTCAAGAGTCTATGTTTTTCATCTATACAAAAAGATGAAAGCAATCACACTTTCACCAGGTAAACAACGTTGCATTTACACAGAAATAATAATAGCCCAGCCTCTCACTTTTCATTTTAAAACTTTAAAAATGGCAATAATTTCACTAAAAATATGGACTTACTACCAACAGGAGATGACCGTGCCCCTACGATAAAGTAACTGTATTCCTAACGTATACTTTAGTCACATGAGATACTCAGAGGCAGCAGAGCAAGAAAAATTTCAAATCTCACTTCATCATTTCCTGTTAATGCCAAAGAATGGTCTCATGGTTACAAAGGAATGTGGATACAGAAACAGAGAAAACAGAGTCTGCTTACTTTTATCATCTCCACTGTTGTAGGTGTCACTGTCGGGAGAATGTTCTCGCCGGCGCTTAGGTGACTGACGAGGGCTAGGACTCCCTTCATTTCTATAGCGCTTCCTAAATAGGACAAATATAGTTTATAAAATTCCAGAGGATGAAAAAGAGATTTCTTTACTAGTTTTCAGTATTATTTCTTTACTGTAACTACAAAATATAATTGTAAGAGAGCAATACTGTGAGAGCTATATCATATAAAAGGTGTTCAGGGGGCGCCTGGGTGGCGCAGTCGATTAAGCGTCCGACTTCAGCCAGGTCACGATCTCACGGTCCGTGAGTTTGAGCCCCGCGTCAGGCTCTGGGCTGATGGCTCAGAGCCTGGAGCCTGCTTCCGATTCTGTGTCTCCCTCTCTCTCTGCCCCTCCCCCGTTCATGCTCTGTCTCTCTCTGTCCCAAAAATAAATAAACGTTGAAAAAAAAATTAAAAAAAAAAAAAAAAAAAGGTGTTCAGCATGCATCTTGAATAAAATTCTTCACTTCGTTTGTTAAGACATACAATTGTGATTTAAAACACAGGACAACAGGTCTTTCTTCATCAAATCACCAGATTTAATAATTGCATGGTGGTAACATACAAGAGAGGAATTAATGTACCGTCTACTAAAACTTACTCGTTAATTTTATCTTTTATGATAAAGAAATACTTTATGCTGGGAAGCCAAATGAGAAAATCAGTATCTGCTTTGGAGTCAAAAAGATATGAATGCAACTTACAGCCATGTTACCTATTAGGTAACCTTAGGAAGTTCCTTGAAATCACTGAACCTTAGCTTTCTCATCTGAAAATGGTGGGAAAAAACCAGGGTCCATCTTGTAAAATTGCACTTAGGAATAAATTAGTTTTATCGTAAGCCTAGTGCTAGTTATGTTGTGAGTACACTGTAAAAATTGGTTCCTTCCCTTTTCTTAAAACTAAATCACTTGCTTGGTGGCAAATTAACAAAATAATTAAAATGTTCACTATTCTTATTCTTTAGGTTAAACATTAAATGACTAGTAATTTATATCTCTGGTACTTAAATTATTCTAGTGTTTTCCTGTATTGTCATTAAATTTTAACTACCTTTTTTTTTTTTAAACCACTGTTTATAAATACTGTGGTCAAAAGTTATGAAACATACTGCAGCACACATATCTCCCTCACGGCTCATTTACATAAATGAGTAACCAGGGTTTCGGAAAAAAAAAGAGATTAGTGTGACAACTTACAGGCTCAAGTTCGTACAGTTCCCTATCCAAAGCTCCTGCTATCATTAGGCCATCTATTCCCCCATTCTTTGAATCTGGGCTGGCCCACAGACTTGCTATGACAAGAGGATGTGGTGAAAGTGACAGAGTGTAAGTTTGGAAAATCAGGACTCAAGATGCATTGCAGCTTCTGCTTTTGACCTCTTGGCATGTTTCTATCATTATATGGAGAGTTTAGACTATTGGAGAATGAAAGGTCGTGTGGAGGAGAAATGAGATGCCCTAAACAGCAGCCAGCACTAAATACCAGGCATGAAGAGTGAGGCCAGTTTGGGTCACCCAAACACAGGTGAACTGCCAGACCCACCTGAGAAACATGAGTGACCCCAAGTAAGATCAGCAGAACTGCTCTGCTGAGCCCAGCCCAAAGTGCTAATCCACAGAATGATGAGACGACTGCCTCTTGTTTTAAACTACTAACTTTATGTGTGGTTTGACACATAGCAAGAGGTAACTGGTATATCAAAATAAAGCCATTAATTAAAATGTACAAAAAAAATAACTTTAATTTCTAGGAAGTATCTATAGAAATAAAATTAAGAGTAAAATAAATAGTATGGCAAGTCAGCAAACAAAACCTGCATAATAGGGGTTAAAAAAAAGTTCTGGGTAAATTCAACTACTGAGATGACAATACAATTGATAAAAACATCAAGATATTAATCTCATACAGCTATCGTTATAGAGCTGTTTGACTCCTAAGTTTGTGGGGTCCTTGCAACGTTTGGATTGTCCAACCATGAAAAACCAGAAGAAAGTTTTGCTACTTAAGCAGAGATCAGAAGCATGGAAAAACGAAATCAAAGCACAGGACTGCGTAATAGATAAATAACAAAGATTTCACAATTTTCATCTTAGAGACTTTAAGGAGGTCAGAGAAATATGTATTGTATGCCTACATGTGTTAAAAACAGTATCTGAATTTTATGTTAATGTAAGATTATTTATTAATGGGGAAAGGGAAGCCAGTGGATGTGAACTACAGAAAACCCTGGTTGCAGATTGAAGGGAAGCCAAGACCTAATAGATGCAGCCTCCACTTCTGTGCTTTGTTCTTTGTCCACAGTCATAATCTACAACAGCAATGATGAAAAACAGCCGAAAGCAGGGAGCTGTATTCACCATAATTCACAGGAGCTAGAAGCAGAAGCAATGGAACTGAATATATAAATTATTTCCAGTTTGTTTTAGCAAACTTAACCATACCCTTTATCCCAGCTGGTATTAAAAAGGAAAAAAAAAAAAAAGGCAGTTAACTCCAATGAGCTTGGTTTTATGTCCATGAAACCTCAAAACTGACCAATCAGAGTCCAAAATTCTCATGGCTACAGTGATTTAGCTCCCTTTGTCTATTCCTCAACTGATGAGAGTCCCAACATACATAGAGGGCTGTGAAGCTGACAGGCATACACTCAAGCCATCTTAGCCACCATCTGGAGAAAACCTTTCTGAGACTAGAACTCACACAGAAGAAAACAGTGGAGAAATGGACAGACAGGATTCCTGATACATTGTTTCAAAGTCTGAACATAGTCACATCAGAACAAATGAACTCTAACCATGGACTTCCCAGATATCTGAGCAATCCTTTTTTTTGGGGGGGGGGGGG